ATTGACTTGTGGAGTGGAGCAGGTGGTGTGTGCCCTGGTGACACAATGTCTAAGTGCTCAACTGCCAACCTACTAATCAGTGATCTGAACCCATCAGCTGCTCTGAGGGAGAAAGATCTAGCAGTCTGCTCCCATAAATAGTAATCTAAAGGTAAGTTCTACTGTCCTACAGGGTTGCTACGAGTCAGAACTAACTAGATAGCAGAGGGTCTGGATTAGGCTGGGATTCAGTGTCTGTCTCCCTTAGCTTGTGATACCATGTTTCCCTGAATTAAATACTTCAGTCCCCGAGGGTTGAGTACACTGAGGAGAGGTGAATGGAGACGTGAATAAAGAATCATTTAGGACATTATCTTTGAGCTACTGTAGAAAGCTAGGTGTCTGAATTTTTCAAAGACCAGAGTAAGAGTGTGTTTATGAGTCGGAAAAGAGGCTGGAAAAAAGAGGAGTTAAAAAAAAAAAAGAAAAAAGAGGAGTTTTTAGCTAGAGGTAAGGCTGGAAATGTGAGTAAAGGTTGTACTTGAGCTTAGGAGATGCCAGACAGTCATTTATCTTACAAGTGCTGAGCCTCCAGTGTGCCAGGACCTGCCATAGATGCTTGAGAAATGCCAGTGAACAGCAAAAATCCCTACCCTTGAGGAGCTTTGTATTCTAGTGAGTAACAGATGCAAAATCCAAGGAAATTATATGGTACAGTGGACAATTAGTTATTTAAATTTTTGTTGAAAATATACACAACAGAACATACACAATCCAACTTCTATAAGCACAATTGATATTGATTACATTCTTTACTTTGTACAACCATTCTTACCCTCCTTTCCCAATTGTTGCTCCCCCATGAATAAAAATTCATTTTCTCCTAAGTTGCCTATCTAACCTTTCCAATTGCTATCTTCAGTTTGGTCCCATATAGATAGTTGGCAGCACAATTCTCACGGCAGACATTCTATTATTCAAGCTAAATATTGGGTGTCTTGTGACATAGGCATTGAGCTGCTAACCACAAGGTCAGTTCATTGTTTGAACCTACCAGCAGCCGCACTGGAGAAAAATAAAACTGTACTGCTATCAAGATTCAGTCTCAGAAACCCAAAGGGGCATTTAACTCAGTCCTATAAGGTCACTAGTCAGAAGGGCCTTGATGGCAGTGAGTACTGTTTAGTTTAAAGATGACTTCAGCCACCCCCCAAGGGGGACAAACAACAGACATGCGGATGAAAGGAGACAGCAGTCAGTGTAAGATATGAAAGTAATAATAATTTATAATTTGTCAAGGGGTCATGGGAGGCAGGGGAAAAAAGCAAGTTGATACCAAGGGCTCAAGTAGAAAGTAACTGTTGATGTATATATGGATTGTGATAAGAGTTGTATGAGCCCCAATAAAATGATTTAAAAAAAAAAGAAAGTAACTGTTTAGAAAATGATGATGGCAAAATGTGTAGAAATGTGCTTGATATCATTGCTGTATAGATTGTTATAAGAGCTGTAAGAGCCCCAATTAAATGATTTTTTTAAAATGCTATTAGAGAATATTTTTGGTTTAAGTTTTAAAGATTACTTCTCAATAACAGTTTCTGAGGTTCTTCCAGCCTCAGTGATTCCATAAAGTCTGGATTCCTTGAAAATTTAAAATTCTGTTCTGCATGTTCCCCTTTCTATTAGATTGTAATTTTAAATGAGATGGGTAGACTTCTTAGGGGGTGATACTTGGACCAAGACTTGAAGGGCATATGGAACTAGCCTTGCAATTATTTAGAGGGATGAGAATTACAGGTAGAGGAAGAGCCAATGCAAAGTCCCTAAGTGGGGGGATCCCCTGAGAGCCTTGAGGAATAGCAAAGAGGTCAGGTAGCTAGCATGGAGTGAGTGACAAATAATAGATGAGGTCAGGTGATATATCAGATAACGCGAGCTCATGTGCCACTGAAAAGTATATGGCATTATTCTGAAAGAAATGTGGAGCTATTTGAGGATATTGAGCAAAAGGTGACATGATTTGTGCTTTGTGAATAGGCTGTAGGAGGTGAAGAGAGGAAGTGGGAAAACCAGTAAAAAAGCTGTTGTAGTGAAGATCCAGGCAAGAGCTGCTGCTGCCTCCAGGGTGGGAGTGATAAGAAGTGAGATCTGGATCTATCCTAGATGGACTGGTTTGAGATATGAGAAAGGGTGGAGTCAAGGACAGCTATCAAATGTTTTGTCCGAGCACATGAAAGAATGGAATTGCGATCACCCAAGAGGGAAAGACTATGGGATGAGCAGGTTTGGAGTGGGAGGCAGGCAGGGTTTTACAGATCAGTTTAGCTTTGGACTTCCTACATTTGAGTTACCTGGTAGACATCCAGAGATGTTGACTAAGCAGTTACATATATATGAGCCTGATGTTTAGGAGTGATGTCAGATGGGAAGTACACATTTGGGAACTGTAAGCATATGGGTGGTCTTTAAAATCACAAACCTACAAGCTTGCATAAGCTCACTAAGGGAGTCCAGAGAGAGAAGGACAATGAGTAATGATAATCTAGAGCTAGACGCAAAGAATTCAGAGTAGGTTATCACCTACCTTCAGTCTTGAGTTCAGTATTTGCTAAATCTCTAGTACTGGACTAGAGATCATAAAAACACAATTAAATGAATATTATCAATGTTCAAAGGAATGCTAGTGGCACTATGGCTCAGGCAGAGGCTGATAATCACATGGTCAGTGGTTCAAACACACCAGTTGCTCTGCAGGAGACTGTTGAAGCCTTGAGGCTCTCTGCTCCTGTACAGAGTTACCATCTTGGAAACCCTATACAGGGTTGCTGGGAGTCAGAATCAACTCAATGACAGTGAGCTTGATTTTCAGTTTCTAAGTGTTAAATAATAACCTTTTTAAAAGAAAAAAAAAGCTTAAATCACTAAAACATGACTCCTATATAAATATAAACACATAAAATATATTAGAGAAAAGAGATAACATGTCTCTCAAAAAAAGTGTTAAGGGAAAAATGAATGATGATACTGAAGGGTTTTGGTATCATTGGTATAGAATTAATTTTATTGACGGTTTCACATCTTTTTAGGAAAGCATTTCAAGAGTTGCATAGCACCATGGGTTAAAGCAATGGTTTTCAACCTTCCTAATGCTGCGACCCTTTAACACAGTTCCTTGTGTTGTGGTGACCCCACCCCCCAACCATAAAATTATTTTCGTTGCTACTTCATAACTGTAATTTTGCTACTGTGATGAATCAGGCCACCCCTGTGA